TTTTTTACGACAAATGCAAAATAAACTTTCAAATCGCAAAAAACCCAATAAAACTAAAATTCAAGATGGCGGAATGTACCCAAATGAAATTTAAGGAAAAGGCTGTGGATCCATGATCTACGTGGAAAATAGAAGTAAACTGCATCAGAAAATTGCTGTTACATTTTTTTTTGTTTTTCGTACCAAATTTATATAATTTTACTGGGCTAATTATTAATGAACATATTTGGGTGATTCACAAAAGTGATATTGTCATAAATTTTAATGCGTTTTCAATTGTCTTCTAGTCCACTGTGGTGTAGTGATTAGCAGAGCGCTCTACCATCCCGCAGGATTCAAAAGTTTTTCCAAAAGCGATCGCCCCTCGGCAGGAAATGACAAACCTACGAGTGTATTTCCATGAAAAAACAGCTTCTCATAAAAATACATTCGCCGTTCGGAGTCGGCGTAAAACTGTTGGTCCCTCTCCTTTATGTGACAACATCAAGGCGCATGCCACAAATGGGAGGAGAAGCCCAGCCAAACACTAACATATTGTGTAAGCGTCATTCTATTATTATTACTAAGTTGTCTTCTAGTTGCTAAAAAATCACAGATTTTTTTTTACTCTTATAAAAATTATGACTATGTGACTAGTTATGACACCTTGTGAATCACCCAATTCGTTTAAAATCTAAGTGTGACTATTTAAAAAGTAAAATTAGCCTTGTTACTCCTTATTGCAATAAATAAGGAATCAACAGAGCTGGAAAAAGGTCGAAACTACTGTAATCAATTTAATGTTTATATACTATTCGAATCCGATAGTATAATAGATATAACATAAATCGACTGCCAACTGGTAAAATATAGAAAAAAATGTTTAACATAAAATGAAAGTGACGAAAAACCTCTAAATCTGAAGAAGTTACCATATATTTTTCAGAGTTGCACTAAATTTTAAGTGCACTAGGTATTCCACTAGCAGTAAATATATTGGAAGAAATTATATTCTTATTATGTATATTATATTTTTCACTATTTAGATATCGCCAGCTTAGTGATAGTGAAAGACTTCTTCACCACCACTAAACAGTTTAGCGATATTGCTATTTTGTTTCACTACAACTGAATTTAGTGGTAGTGAATAAATTCACACTAAACTCAAGTAGTGCAAAGTTGAAATAGTCACTACATATAAGCTAAAATAAAAATATTTTCACTAAACTTTCAAACATAAGTTAATTTCATATGCCGCATGTACATACATATGTACGGTGACCATTCGTAGATACCGATTTTTAGAAAATTGTCCCGCTGAATATTTTTGTAAAAGTCGGGACGTATAAGTGTCCCGATTATTCATATTTGTACCGATTAAGTCCCGGTTTTCAGTGTTTTATTTTTTAATTTAACAAGAGTCTTCCTGTACTCTGACCCAAAATCAATTTTTCATACAAACACAGCACTTCGTTATGACAAAGAACATAGAATATAGGGGAGCCACTAGACCTGGAAACCTAGTTTCGATAGTCGATAGTCACAACCATCGATAGTATCGATTTTTGATTAAAAAAGTCCAAAAATTAAACATAACAACTTTTATTGAAAATAAGATCAGAATTGCTAAAATATGTCCATATTTTTATTAAGGAAGAAAAGTTTATCAACGATTTTTGGCTTCATGTAGTATCTGCGCTCTGAAATTATTTGCCCTGCTTTGCTAAATGTCCTTTCCGGCTCACAAGATGAACCAGGTACCGCCGGCTGTTACTCATACTGAATAATATATGTATGAGTGAAAACTATCGATAGTGCTTTCAAAACCATCGATGTTTTCGATAGTCAAGAACCATCGATACTATCGATAGTGTCATCGATAGTTTTCCAGCTCTAAGAGTCACAAACATAGCCAGCATCCTTATTATCTATGAACTTTGGTTATGTTTTATTCTGTCAAACTGGTACTCCCGCTATATTGCGGTCACCATTCTTTTCAACATTTTGTTTTAGGGTTTTTATGATTTTTTGTTAAGGTTTTTTTTTTTTTTAATGGAACGATTCTAACTTGAATTTAATGAAATTGTGAAAAATATAAGCTGTTGATACAATGGTGAAAATATAAATAGGAAAGAGACATTTTAGCATTCCTTGGCTATTCATTCCCCTTTTGATTATTTAATGTTTATTATTTTTCTATGAAAGTGTACCTGGTTATATAAAAAAAAAAACTTTTTAAATCAAATTTTGTACAAAAATTAACGAATTTCGTCAAAATTTTATCAAAATTTTGAGCTTTTTAAATTTATTTCTTAGAAACTTTCCGAGTATGCAGCTTTGTAGCCCATTCAATTCTAGTAAAACGAAGTGCAAATTTGGTAAATTTTTTTTGTGGAAGGTGTTGGCCATTTTCCCCATACAAAAAATTGTCGAGCAAACTTCGCTACAAGCTACTTCGAACTTGCGCTTGTTATACTAAAATTTGATGGGCTACAAAATTGCATGCACAAACAAATTCTAAAAATCTGATTTCCGAGTTTAAGATTTTGATCAACATTTGTCAATATTCGTCGAATTTTTTTATTGGTTCTACAAAGTTTGAAATCTTGATTCAAATATTTTTTTTATATTAGTAAGCTAAAAAGTCATAAACATTTTTTAAACATAGAAAAGTAGCCAAAACTTGCTGAAATGTCTTTTCCTTATTTACGCCCTCGCTTATTTACGGCCGCTGTGGTGTAGTGGTAAGCAGTGCGCGCTTCCACTCCGCAGCACCCGGGTTCAGACCCTGGTCAAAGCAACATCGCAAAAAAATATAGAAAAAAGTTTTTTTCTTAACAGCGGTCGTCCCTCGGCAGGCAATGGCAAACCTCCGAGTGTTTTTCTGCCATGAAAAACATCTTCTCAAATACAATCGCCGTTCGGAGTCGGCGTAAAACTGTAGGTCCCTCCGCTTTGTGTGACAACATCAAGGTGCACGCCACAATTCGGAGGAGAAGCTCGGCCAAACAATAAGTAATGTGTAAGCGCCAATCTATTATTATTATTATTATTTACGCCCTCGCCATCGTATATATTGTGGTAAGTTTTATTCTCATTGTTTGCCTTAAATAAAACTGTATTAAGAGATGTTATGTCTTTTTATTCTAAAAACAAAATTGTATGTTCGGATTCGATGCTTTAGAAGTGTCGCGATTTTGGTCCACAGAAATCTAGTCAACGTATACATATGTAACTATGTACAAAGGTAACACCTTTACTTCAGAACGACTGGGCCGATCTGGTTAATCCTTTTCTTGGTGGGTTCGTGATTAACAATACAAGGTTCGAAAAAATATCCTCACCAGGTGGTCCTGGAGTGGAGTTCTTATTTCAAATCTTCTAATTTGTCTCATATTTGGAATGTGTATTGGTAACACAAAATATGTTAATACTGCAGCAAAGATTATAATATGCAATAAATTGTTAATTTAGTCTTTCGATTTAATGAAACGATTCGGTGCTCCACTAACATTAGTGTTTGATATTTTTCACTATCAATTTTAGTGCAAAAAAATGTTTCACTAGGCTGAAGAAATTTTTTTTCACTATTTGATTGTTAATTTCAGTAACGCTATTGAGGCTTATATATTGCAATTCAATAAAATTTTGCACTATCACTAGCTACTAGTGTAAACTGAGAATTTAGTGCAACACCCCAACTCTGATTTTTCCATCTTTTTATCTAACATAAACACAAAAAAAAATAACGATTGTAGACATTTTCTACTTTATTGGTGACGATTTTTTTTTTGCACATTAAGGCTTATCACAATCACCTTTACTACATATATATGTCTGTATGTACATATATATGAGGCCATGAGAACAGAAATGGCCTAACCCAAAACTTATTTTTTTATACTTGCCTATTTAAAATAGTCTCAAATGTGGTCCATTTTATAATTAAAGTCGATTATTTCTTAATTTGAAGGTACAGTGCTACATTAAGTACCATTAAATTAAGGAATAAGCGATCTTTACTTTAAAAGTTGTTACATTCTAAACTATTTTCAGAAGTTAAGTACTTAAATAAAAAAAAAAAAAAATGTGGGTGGGGCCTCCTCTGTTGTCCTGTCATCATATAATACTTAATTTTACTAAAGTATATATGTAAATCTTAGCTATTTACAAAATTTATAATAAACCGATTAATCGTAAGAAGATTTGTTTTATTTGTATAAAATTAAATACATAACTTCGAAAAATTTAAAATTTTCTAACTATACAAATGAGAAAAAATTGAAATTTATTTAAAATAGTCTAAAATGTGGTCCATTTTATAATTAAAGTCGATTATTTCTTAATTTGAAGGTACAGTGCTACATTAAGTACCATCAAATTAAGGAATAAGCGATCTTTACTTTAAAAGTTGTTACATTTTAAACTATTTTCAGAAGTTAAGTACTTAAATAAAAATAAAAAAAAATGTGGGTGAGGCCTCCTCTGTTGTCCTGTCATCATATAATACTTAATTTTACTAAAGTATACATGTAAAGCTTAGCTATTTACAAAATTTATAATAAACTGATTAATCGTAAGAAGATTTGTTTTATTTTTATAAAATTAAATACATAACTTCGAAAAATTTAAAATTTTCTAACTATACAAATGAGAAAAAATTTAAATTTAATAGTAGTTTAACTATAGGGACAGTCAGGGTTTAAAGTTTAAGTTAAGTTAATATACAACTCTTTAGAACAGTCTTTACACCAGAGGTGGGCAGCCTCGGCAGAGCATTTTTGTAAGTCCTGCAGTTGAATGAAGCTTTCGCTGCCTTCTCAAGCAGAGCGTGTATGTATACACCAGCGATCGGCAGAGAGAGGTTTTACTCTGCTCGTGCCTATACAAAATGTACAGAAAGGTTAAGAGAGCTTTGCCCGCCGGCAAGGCAGTGCCCATCCAAGAATGATAGAATACAAGATTGCGCCAATCGAGCTGAGAGCAACTGGCCGTGACGTCAAAAAATACCAGAATGAGAGAGCAAAGACGAATTCAATAAGAAAAAGAAGAAGAATCGAACAGCTGGGGGCGAAATTGAAAGGTTTGTTTACAAAGTGCATAATAAATCGCGGATTTACGGAATTATTTAATTTTAAATGGTAAATTGGTTGTTTAAAAGTAAAGAATGTGTACTTCTTAAATGCAATGCAAATCGCTGAAAGTGTTAAAACACTGCAATCATTATAATGATTTGCATTTTTTCAGTAATTGAACAAATACCAGCGGGTCAGTTGCTGGTAACAATTTGCAGAACGATTCCACGGTGATCGTTGCATCGTCGTCAATTAGTGAAATCAGTAAGCAAGCTTTTAAAATAAAGGAAATTCTCCTACTCCGCTATACATATAATTACTTTCATTATTTAGCTACTTTTCCGGCAGCCGCAACAAACGCTGGCCCAAGCCTGCAAATTGTTGCCAGCAACTGACCCGCTAGCTGCCCACTGGCATTTGTTCAACTACTCAAAAATGCACTTTGTAAACAAACCTTTTGGGTGTTGGCCACATCAAGCGGCTCATCTGGATGAAATGAAAAAGCTGTTAGATGTAATGCAGCAACGTGCTCCCGATGTTGAACATCAGTTCAAAGAAAAGTCAAATGAGTTGGAAATGGCGCAGCTTATCATACGCCAGTTGTCGGATAAGGCCAATGTAAACCAAGGCCGCAATCGGATAGAGACCTCGACGCAGACGCAATTTATGTACGAGTAACAGGTTAGAGACTTACAAGTAAGTTAGAAGTAGAAGTGCATTTGAAGACGTTTACATTATTATGTTTACGCATTTCTTACAGGCTATGGTGCAACAATTGACGTATGAAAGGAATTTATGATGGTCACAAATATATTGGCAAAAACATAGCAAGTGCATATGCCAAGTTGGAAAAATTGACAATGCGTGAGTATAAAATGAATAGGTGTTCTTAATTATAAATAATACTTTACCTCTTCTTTTGCAGTGGCTAAAAAGAAGAGTCTTTTTGATGATCGACCGCAATAGATTCAAGAATTGACTTACATCATGGTGTATGCGTAGGGTGACCATCCGTTCTGTTTTTTGCAGGACCGTACTGTTATTTAAAGGTCTGTCCTGCGTAGTTTTTCAAAACGGAAAACTCCCAAAATGTACTGATTTTTTCCAAGTGTCCTGCCTTTGTCCCGCATTTTCTTCGATATTTTAAAATTAACTTTTCCTAATCGAAATAAAAGCAGTGTCGATAACTTATTGATAACTACATAAGGGTAGGCTGGTTTTTAAGGTTCAAGTAGTCAATGCGTTCTAAATATTGTACGGTTATGGACAATGGATGACGAGAAATTGAAGACCAGCATCAAATATATCGATAACACTGTTCTACAAATTTTGTGGTAATCGCTTAAGAAAAAAAATATTTTCCAAGCCAATTTTCTTTTCAAACAAGTCTTTTCGTAATTTTTTCGAAAAATGTGTTTTTGGTACATTTCGGACCTATTCGTCAATATCTCATGAAAAAATTATCCAATCAACATAAGCGACCTATAGTCCTTTTACAAAAATATATTACATTGCCGATTTCGATGAAATTTATAAGTGTTACAGGCGACCAAAATCGAAAAATTGAAATTTCCATAATTTTCTTTTTAAAGTAAATGAAAATCTGATGAGAAATTTAGATGTTACGGAACACAATCTGCACAGAAAATATATATTATTGCAAAGAGCCCATCAATACCTTTCGAACTGTTGGTCGTTTCATGAGATATTGAGGAATAACTGAAAAAGTACTAAAAATACGTTTTTCGAACAAATCTCGAAAACACTTCCTTGAAACCATGGGTATTTTTTCGTGTTCAACGACCCAAAGTTTGCCTAAAAGATTTGCTTTACAGAGGTTCATATTTCGTGTTAAGTAATATGTAATATGCCTTATTATAATTTTGTAAATATTCATTACTAAAAGATTAATACCAATGAAGCAAATGTGATTTATGTTAAAAGTTTAAAATTGGATTAATAATTAAGAAATATACACTCTTCGGTATTTGAATAGCGCATCCTTTTAATACTTAGTAGGTACAGTTTTCCTTTTGTTTGTTTAATATTCATTAACTTTTTATAAAAATATAGCATGTTCTACGTCTACATCCCATTTAAAAATTTTTTGAAAATTAAAAAAAAATAAACATAGGGGCGACAATTTTTTTTTGTTGACGGTGCTGCGCATTTTCTTCCATATAAAAATTTTGTCAAGCATACTTTGTATTTGAAACTGAATTTAGTTTGGTCATATATGTAGTCCAAAAAGTTTAAAATTAAAACCGAAATTTTTAACCGTGTGTCTATAAACTATAACAAGGAGCTCTAAGAATTTGTAATTTTTTTTTACCTCCCTCTAAGTTTAAGCTTCGATAGTGCTTTCATTGACTATGAGCTACTTTTTAACTATTCCTTTGTTCATATGTCCTCTAAAAAGGATCCAAATTAAAGCACATCCTAATATCTATAATAATATCTCATGAAACACTGCATATAATTATAATTTTAGTTATTTTAAATTAATACTCACTTTTTAACAGCTATGCTAATACGATGAATTAAGTAAACTTACCTTGCGTGTTGTTATTTTTTAATGCATAAAAAATTTCTTTAAAAAATAAATTTCCAAAATAATAATTTGTTGAGGTGGCAGTGATACTCGAGCAATTCACGAAAAGAATAAACGTCATAAGCACAGTTTATGTAAAAAAAATTCAAAGTAAAACTACCTTCTTTTTTGTATCATGCATTTAATTAAAAAATGTATTTCATTCGTTATCTATACCCATGATTCAATAATGAAAGGTTTTGTAAGAAAAACTTTCTCTCGCTCTAATTTTACCAATGACACTCCCACCCTACTCCTAAAAACAAAAACAGTGATATTTCTTTCAAATTTCTTCGCAAGTTTTAAGAACATTTTTCAATTGTTAGTAGTGAAATTTTTACTTTTTAAATTTGAAGAAATATTTGTTCTTCATTCGCTGGCGCCAACAAGACAAAATGGGTGAGAATCGTTGGACTACAGAAATTCAATGTAGGCTAAAGATACGAAATTACCTTAAATGCCGAAATGTATTTGTCGATATTCGTGGAGACCTCTTGATTCTGCCAAGTCGCTGTAAAGTAAAGCGTGCAATGGTTTTGTTAAATGAGCCAACGAAGGTATTTAGGTATTGTCCTCCACAACAAAATCCTGGTGTCTCCAAATGAGACTTTGACGCAATACAACATTGCCAAACCGCATCCATAGGCCCAATCGTCACACGACAGCTCGGTTTAGTCAATGGCGCAATGTAATTGCATACTTAAAAGGTGTACGCACGAGGCGAATGTTGGCTGGCGACCAACTTTGTTGAAAGCGATTAGTTGAAAGGCCGTTCAACCAAAAGTAGAATGCAAAGTTGAACAATGCAAACGCCTTTTTATGGCGAATATTTTGATATTTTTTCATATTTTGATATAGTCATTAAATTTTTTTTTCGTGCAACCCGGCGTGAGTTGAACGCAAAAGTTGCCTGAAAAATCGCCTCGTGCGAAAGCCCAATTACGCCACTTCTCATTTGACGATGTAGATCACGTTCCCTGTCTCTGTCCTGAGTTCGTCCGGCACGAATCGCGAATTGCGGCTGTGTAAGCCAGTGTTGAATATTCTCCCCAGAAGATTAAAAGTGCGACTTAAAAGTATTCGAATTACCTAATTCGAAACAATCGATCCATAACCGCGAAAGAAACGTAAGCTCCAAATTTTTTTATTTGCCGTTTTTTTTAATAAATATTGCATATTTTCCATCAACAAATAGCTTCTTCATATCCATCGTGTGGCAAACAAATACAACAACAAAAAAGCTGAAAGTGGACCATCCATTCTCGAGTTATGCGCCATCTGACGTACGCAAGTTTGGTATATACATAGAAATATTTATTTTTAATAACAATCGGGGGTTATATTCGATGTAAATAAGCTTGTTTAAATTAAATAATTATTTCAAATTCGTTTTTGTTTTAAAATACCACCATTCACTATTATACACACCTTTTTATGGAATTTAGCTCCCATTTTAGGAAGTGTGATTGAATTCTTCCCCTTTTTCTCCTGCTTCCATAAACCATCCCTGTGGGTGGGAGTACCAAATTTTAGAAAAAAGCTACTTACAAAACCTTTAATAATTTAATCATGATCTATACCATAATGTAATAAACAAAGTGAAATCAATATTTGACGTACGCTTGTTTGAAAATTTAAATGTAAACAATTCGTATATTTGTGTACATTAACCCTCTTTCGGCTTTGGTTCACGTATGATACGGTGAAGCATATAACAAATGCTACATGCATATGTATGTACGAATGCGTTATGGCTACGGTGACCATCCGTCCTGTATTATACGGGACAGTTCTCTTTTTGTCCTGGTAATTTATTTATTTTATAAGGGACGCCAAACGTTCTGTATTTCTTTTAATTTCCTGCATTTGTCCCGTATTCGGTATTTCGACGCATTGACAGGTCATTAAAATGGCATGCCTATGAACAAGTTTTGAGTAATGTTGGTATATGATAGTATTTTTTCCATAAACAGTTATTATTTTCTAATCTGAATGCCTCTGATTCGAATCAAGGAATACATCTTCTTTTTCTTTTTTGGCGCTCAAGGAATACATACAGTGACCAAAATGGTAATTAGGACTCCACTTTTTAGAAAGTTTTGGCTACTTTTCCGTAGTTTTTTCAATGTATATTATTTATTTTATGAAAGTAAAGCTCTTTTCCTAACAAAAAACATATAATACCAAATTTCCAACTTTGTGCAAAAAACTATAAAAAATAATTCTGCAATGTTTCACCAAAATTTAAATTTTTTTAATTAGAATCTTCAGAAGACAATTTGGTTTGCAGTTTTATAACTCATTAAAATTGAGTATAATAAAGTGTGAGTGGAAAGTGCTGCTCATTTGCTTCTTTTTCAAAAAAATTGTCGAACATCCTTACTTTATATGAAAAAAATGCGTAACACCGTCAACAAAAAGCGAAATTGCCAAAAATTGTAAACCTTAGCGACTTAAATTTAACGAATTTTTTTTGACAAATTTTACGGGCTAAAAATCTCGAGAAGATGATCCTACAAATTTGTGATATTACTAAAAGGATACTGTTTCAGGGCTAATACATCTGGGATCATTGAAGAAGGCTGTAAGCTGTTGTGGAACAACTTTGCAAAACTATTTTTTGTCCCGTATTCAGCTCTCATAAATATGGTCACCGTAGTTATGGCTTAGCGAATTCAAACACAACTTCTTTTATTGCAAGGTCATGTTGGTATAGAAAACCTTCGCCATACCCCTGAAAAGGGTCGTCGTTGCGTTGGAGAGAGAAAAGGAATAACTTATCTGCGTTGGGAACACCAAATGGAGCTTACTTATAGTGATTTCGTTTCTTCAAAAAAATGTTGCCCTTCCACGGTGCAAAATGTATTTGGTGTTACACTCAACTCTGTTAAAGGGTATCACTACAAATTAAGTCTTTATTCACACACGAAAAGAGAAAGGTGCAATCAAAAGGTGACATTTTTTGGTAAAAAAGATGACACCATTAGTGTCACTGCTGAGGGGAATATCGACCTATCTCGGCAGCCAGTTCAAAACCGACCTATCTCAAAAAACTTTTCAACAACCCTCTATTTCAAATTTAGTTGAAGAACGACCTATTGCAGAATTTGATTGAACCGAATTCCGAGATAGGGCGTTCTTCAACCAAATTCTGTGATAGGGTGCTTTTCAATAAAATTCCGAAATAGAGCATTCTTCAATCAAATTCTGAAGTAAGGCATTCTTGAAAAGTTTTCTGAGATAGGGCGTTTTTGAACTGGCTGCCGGTAGTCGATATGCTCGTAATAAAATAAACAGCACCACAAGTATATATTTTAATAAACTATACTTCGAGGCCTTTACATAATTTTTAAGTATTTGGTACAGTACTGCAAATAAATTAACAACAATCAACAAACAGTAGTTTAAAATTACATAAATTCATTTGATACTTGATTAAAATAATATATATATATG